AAAAACGAAAGGCCGAGCTAGAAGAACCACCACCACCTCCAGCTGCCCCATATCAGCCTCCACCACTTGATCCGCAGGCGTACTTGAACATGTTGCGAATGATGCAGACTCCGCAAACATCCATCTTTAACAACGTTATCAATCAAATGTAAGAAAACCTTGAAATTAGTTTTTTTTACAATATATTTCTAATTTTTTTAGCTTAGCACTTATCTTCTCAGCCGCTCCTTTTTCACACTTTTTTAATCAGCATTTTTCTCGGCTTTTGTTTGTACTTCTAGTTCATTCTCAATTAATACAAAGACAGTAACAAAGCATTGTGTAGGGCACGAGTTTGGCTGCCATTTGCATAGGAGTACGCGTGCCTTCCTTGCTTTTCACTCGAAGTGCTGAGTCACACATATTGAATAGCATAAAGCCGTGTGCAAGACATGAACGGCACTCGGCGCGAGGAACAGCGCTGGCAGTTTTGGAAAGCAAGTAGCAGGGTGCGTGTATGTGTGTTACACTTCCGGTAGGCGATCTGCTGGTAGCAGAGTCGGGTTGCTGTGTGCGGCCGTTGCGGTTACCGTATTCCATCCACACTGACAGCGGCGGCGAGACAGCGGACTGGTGCGTGTTTGTCAAGTGATACGGTGTCGCCTCTCTCCTCACCTCGCGAGTTCATTGGCTTGTGGTTGTAAAGTAGTTCGGCATCTCTCTCACCGTCGACGCGATCGAGGGGGCCGTTGCAAGAAAGCAGGGACCGTCGCGTCCGTAGCTGCCTTCGTTCACCCAACTCCTACTCGAGCAACTTGCTCTTGCGCTAATGAGGAAGGAAAAGGCTTTTACAAAGTCATGAGATCTATATGACATAATTATTCTTAGTGCAGATCGATGCCGATAGCGGGTATGTAAGAAACTAATGCAGGCGAGGTAATTTTTAGTGTGGAAGATGTGCTAAACGAATGTACTATCAGACTGAAATTACAGATTGATTTTAGATGTGAATTAGGAAACACAGCCCTCTAAATTTTAAGAATTTTCCATCGTCGGAAATATCCATGAATTCCCCACTCTACGTCGTTTGCGGTTCCGAAGCAATCATAGCTCAAAAACGTGGTTTACTCATGTTTTTCATGGTATGAGCACCTTGACGAAGTAGCGAATAATAGTTGTATCGGTGGGCTATCTTCTATGAAAATAGAAGAGAACCTTTGCGAAAATACTTTTTTATGGTAATTGGAATCTTTGCACACAAGACAAAATAATTTTTAATTTTTATATTTGTTTGCAGAGAAACAGTCAAGCTAATTTTAGCGTCGGTTATCTACATAGTTCTACGAAACCAATGATGGGATAGAGTTTATGGCAGCATCTAGTATTTTGCCTCTTTAGCGTGAAATATACATTGATCTAATTACTAATGAAAATGCTCAACATTTTATCAGATTCCTCATCAATGCGTTATTCAACAATCTACCCTGAATGCTGCTTATTCGATGAAACGAGCAAAGAAACAGCTGAACTTCTGCGGGAAGTTTGTATAGGGGTTGCATACGTTCACTTACTAAGTTTCATGGACCATTGAGCTTTGCGTTTTGAAGGCAGTGCAAGAGCCTCTTCCCATAAAGGCAAAGTCGTTCACTCTGATTATCGAGATGATAAATCAACCTTGTTGGGGGTGCGATTCCGGTTTCTTCGCACCTCATGCAATTCATCACACATTGCCAGTCGTCTTTCTCGCCAAGTACACATGCACACACTGTGACAATCGATTTCTGAACTGCTCTTTGAGTATCATCCTTAGACTCTAAATGACTGTTTTAGGGTTTTTTTTATCCAGAGGTTTTTTGATATTCGCACACTTGAATACATTGCGGTGCAAGCGAAGAACAGCATAATTATAATTGTGAAAACAGGGTCAGCATATAACTATGGCTACATCTTCGCATAATACTATAACATGGGTCATTGGTTTACGCACCAGTAGGTACATCTCATATCACGCTAAATTCACTTCTGTAGCGAGGTGGTTTCAGCTATCCAGTTGTATTTTGAGACCATGCGCTCTTTGGATAACTTTGGTAGGATGTGGCTTGCTCGATAAGGATTAAGTAGGAAAACAGTTCTTCATCGCTTATGTCCATAGTTGGTAATAGCATATGCTATGATTTCTTCGAGGATGACGGTCTCCTTGCTTTGCGGGAAAAAAACGAGCGCATACGCACCGCGTTGGTATGAGGAATTTGTTGACATGCACACGAACCTGATTGATAACGATTTGTCTAATGACTCTCGGAACCTCGGTCAAAAAGGAGACGAGATAGAGGAAGACTGAGAGAGTTAGCACGCGGAGAAAGACTGGACAACCAACAGAGGTATGTGGTGAGAGGGGAAGGGAAGAGACGGATGAAGTGAGTGAAACCCGCTCATTGGTGGCGCGCAGACACAGGATAGGAGCCAGATCGCGCAATAGAGTGAATCGTCGAGGCAATCCACATGCTTGTATTGATCACACATCTTGTCTACACGGGGATAATGTGATAAAACTACCTTTATCATACTGTATAGTACCTTCGCAAACCATGCTTTTGTTAATACTGCCGATTGCTGATCATCAAGAGACTGTAGAGTTAACTTTTTTTAGAAGAATGAACGGCCAGATGGAATGTGACAATTTCGAGGACCGTGTCGATGACTTGGCTGATGACGGCGACAGTTCCCCATCACCTTCCGAGGACACTAAATACGATTTTCCCTTAACTGAAATGAGCTACGACAACGACTCTGGTCAGTACAAACTGTTCTTGTTCATCAGCACTTAAGAATGATGACCTCCCATGCTCCCTTCGCGCTAGTCGCACCGTCATTGCAGAGCGCGTTGTCCAGTTCCTTGTTTAAAAAAGTACAAAACAGCTCAAATCTCGCGTTTCACAGTGAATGGTTTTTGCTTCGAGGGTA